AGAAAGAGATAATGTATTACTATTATTATTATTGGTACTGGGGATCTAACTAGAGTCCTTGCGCTTGTGAGGCAGGCGGCGGAACCACTGAGCTGAATTCCCAGCCCAAGATATTGTATTATTCACCTTTGAATCCCAAGAATCCAGGATAATACCTGGTAGTAGAAGTCCCATGAATATATTATTTTTAATGATTGAAGATATTTTATATTCATATAATGATTCTGGGTCCACTTTCTATCTAAAATCTGACATACATTTTAATTGGACTTCATCTGGTTTATTCCAGCTTTTGTTTTTCAAAAATAGCAATAATTAAAGCCATATTTATAAATGAACAAATAAAAATAGGCCACATATCTCAAGAAAACAGTCAAGAATGCCATCCTCCTTGCACTTGGAACAATGAAAACAGAATAACCCTTTTAAAGCAGGAGAAACAATCACAACATCAAAAACAACTTTTTCTTTAAAAAAAAAGTACTAGATAAGTAGGTATCTCAATGTAATGTCATTTGTTTTTCATACAACTTCAAATTTGAGTTTAATTCCAGGCTCTATCCATTTTTGGATCATGCATGGTCTGAAAAGTCAATTACACTAAACATCTTCAACCTTAGGCTCTGTGCCAAGCAATTAAAAAAACTTACAACTTCTCTGTTGTCTGTTAGATGACCTTATAGAAGTAAACTGTATACTTAATTAAATTATCCCTGGGTGTATTTGTTATCAGTTCAGAGTTGAAAACTTGAGCATTCCCACTGAAAGTTGGGGACCTGAGAAAGACTGATGTTGCTGGTTTTGCTGACTTGCCTCTATTTTTCTGAAAGCTGATTAGGGATTAAACTAGTGCAAATGTAAGGGTGATTTCACATGCTGACTTTCTACAAACTAGCTCATAGACTAATCTGAGGCAGTAACCGCTGTATCAATACATGCATAGTTCTGAAATACACTCTGGGACTTTCTCAATGCACTGAAAACTACACATTATCATATACTTCAGCTTGAAGTTGAAGCATTTCTTCTGCATTTTTGGTTGGCTTTTTCAGCTTGTGCCTTTGTAAAAAGTTTTCCTAGTATGTTATTTTGCACTTGGTTGGTGCTTGACAAATCTTGGTTGAATGAATCGATAGGTATAATCTTATAATATCTTTTTTTTTCTTTAGGGCAGAAGACTCTCAAATATTTTTATTTTACCATGAGTTGAAATAAGACATAGACCCATTAAGACAGAAAACAGTTTTTTTTTTTCAGCATTATTAGAGTCAGATAAGGGCTGGACTATGTATATTTCTAACTTCCTCAGATTCTATCAGTGACTCAAGGACAGAGTGGGAAAAGCAAGTGATCATGTAGTAAATGGAGCCTGAGTTCTGGATTCTCTCTTGAATTGTTGGCTGCATTTCAAGAAACACCTGGTTGGAGAGATTATTTCCCATTGGATGTGAAGTAAACGACCTTTGAAATGAATTGTTCAGTCTTCATAAGGATCTGACAGTTAACTAATGAATGTATAATGTGGACACTGACTATTCAAATAGCTTATGTGAAACTGCGATAGAAAGTGACTTCTAGTTACTATCATTTGTTTTCACGCCTAATCCATTCATTCCTGGAGTAGTTTTATGTAACTGTTAGGAGCTGGGTAAAACACAGCTTGAGCTACAACCTGTTCCAGAAACAGGTATCAGTTTGTTTATCTGAAGATCTTCTTTTTATGTTTTCTTATTTGCACAATAACTTTGAGTCCCTGGCTGATAGGGCAGTGTGTTGAGGCTTAGGGATCTGGCAGCACACAAAATAGGCACATTTCTGCTCCTTGAGCTAATAGTGTAGAATTTGAGATAGACATTTAGTTTGTATATCATATAAATAAATACATATACAATTATAAACTGATTGAGTCTTATGGAAAAGTGGGAGAGAGAGAGAGAGAGAAGAGAGAGAGAGAGAGAGAGACCTAATGATCTCTTTCAGAGAGGTTTTCTGAGGGCCTACAATTTTAGCTCATATCTAAGATGACCAGAAGTTAATTAGGCAAAGTGTAAGAAGAACTTTTAGTTTTAGGGAAAGGCATGTATAGAGTGCCCAAGGCAGAAAGAAATTTAGTGCATTTTGTGAATTAAAAGAAGGCCAATGTGAGTACTGTGAACAGTGGAAAAAGGGCAATATGGCATGTTTGAGAGCAGGTAGGTGCCAAGTCATGCAGAGTCTGCAGGCTGTGTTAATGACTTTGCATTTTATCCTAATGCAAAAGGAGAGAGACAAGATATGATCTATTTTTAAAGATCACTTTGGTTGCATTCAGAATAAATCAGGAGGAGAACAACGGAAGGGGCGAGACAAGTCACGAGACTGTTGTTGGTGGGAGATGATAGGGCTTCGATTAAAGTGTGCAAACAGAAGTACTGTGGAGAGAGTGAGTAGATATGGTAGGTATTTGGAGGTAAAATCAGTTAAGATTCGAAGATGGATTGAATGACAGAAGTGAGGAAGAATAAGGTATTAAAAACACAATTTTTTGTTTGTTTGTTTTTTGAGACAGGGTCTCACTATGTACTTCACACTGTCCTGAACTCACTATGCAGCCTAGGCTGGTCTCGAACTCTCAGCGATCCTCCTGCCTCAGCCTCCCGAGGGCTGGGATTACAGGAGTGCATCACCATGCATGGCAGTTCTTAAAGTTTTAACTTGAGCAACAGGGTAGTTGTATGTGCCATTTTTCTGAGTGGGAGAAGTGTGGAGAAGGTACAAAGTATTGTGAAATCAAAAGTTTTGGTATCAGAACACGGGTGACAAAGCCTCTAAAATGGGGTGTGTGTGTGTGACTTTTTTCTAGAAGGATAAGATGAAGGAGAAGATAATGTGAAAAGAAAAACAAGACAGATTTAGAATAAATAGAAAATAAAATTTCTAAAGGGGAAGTGAAGGTGGTAGTGGTAGTGGATACAGATTGGGGGCTGGGGTGTATTAGAATTACCAAGGGCATGTAATTTGAAAATTATACATTTTCAATTTGAAAAAAGAAAAAAATATAAAAATGAAACACTATGGTCTTCACAATACTGATTATAGAAAGTAAACTGAAAAGAAGCTAAACTTGTGTTTTCACCCAGGAGGGAGGAGATTCTACCAGCTAATTTTTGGTGAATTCTTAAGGAAGAATGCATCAAAATCTCCAGTGGAGTGACATGAAATCAATGGAACTTTCATGTTCATTAAAAGAGTGTGGGTTAAGAAACAAAAAAAGATTCACTGACACTGCACCAGAGCAACAGAGACGTGGTATAAGATAAAGTTAGATAAAGATCAGAAAAAGAGAAATGAGTGAAGAATTTTTCCAGGGAGCAAAAATGTCTCTGCCATCATGCCCAGGCCAACCCAACGCAATGGCTAATGTTCTACCACCAAGCCAGGTTTCTCCTGGGTGTGAATCCCACCTCTGCCACTTATTAGTGGGTGATCTTGGACAAATCAGGAAACTTCTCAAGTCTTAAGTTTTCTCATTTGTAAAATGAAGACAGTGACAATATCTACTGCATAAGGTCACTGTGAGAATCAGAAGAAATAATTCCTGAGAGGCACTTTAACAAAATGCTTTGCTAAAGGAATGGCCCAGTAAACATTCGCTGTCTTAGGTAGCTGAATAGAGAAGCAAGAATAATAGAAAGGAAGTATTGTAGGCTTGTATTCCTTCTCTCCTCCCTGTAGCTATGGTTATTTTTTCCTCTTAGCTTCAAGATGGTGGAGTTCACTGCATTGAAAAATAGTTTTTATAGTTTACTAAGCTATCTGATTTAGTTAATATAATATTTATGACATTATGAAATACTATTAAGCTTTGTTACAAATAAGTAAAAATTCTACAGCTGATTAGTCAAAATACTTTTATTTATTTCTAGAAAAGTTAGATATAATTTAAGATTTGTTATTTAACTCTCATATAGAGACTGAGTTCATGTTTAAACTAATTCTTTGAAAAATATAAAAAAGATAATGTTTACGAAAAGCCTCTTGATATATTCATTTTTTCTTTGCATCACTCTAAGTTCTCTATTTCCTTAGCCTGGGCATTTATTTTATAGATACTCGATCGAACAATATAACTATATAAGCAGTTCATTATGAGTAGGAATGTCACCATGGAGATCTTGGTTAGACTGAATTGGAACCTCCTTATGGAACACTGGATCCTATTTTTCTTACTTTCCTCTTCCTCTCTTAGTGCTAAGCAAAGATGGGGTTTTCATTCTTCATCATACAAATGCTTTAGAGTATTAATACAGAATTGTGTGTAGCCTTTAGACTTTCAACAATTTGTTTACAAAGTTGCTATAGAAAGACTCAAAATTCTACTATCAAATCTGGGTTCCACATTTGTTAATAAAATAATACCAAGGGTAATGCCTTAACCTTTCTGAATCTTTGTATTTGATAAAGGATGGAAGTAATTAAATAAGAGAACAAACACCTAATGCAGTATAAGTATTAAGCTTATGTTTACTATAGTTAGCAGTGACTGATCCTGTAATTTCAGATAAGTTGCATAATGTTCCCAGGAGTCAGTTAAATGATGACATTAATTTAATATTTAAACTATTAAATGGCAATAATAGTATCTATTTCTTGGGCTGTGTTATGCCTGGGGCATAATAAGTACTTATTAAATACTATGCAAAAGTAATAAATGTTCTCATTCATAGTTCTGTATGAGGGAAATAATGATAAACTCTAAAACTGAACATACTGGAATAATATAATTAATACCTTATTAAAATTTGTGGGCATCAAGAGCATGTGGAACACAGTGTGATCACATCTGAGTACTCTGTGATCACACAGGAAACACAAAGGCAACATTCTCAATTGCTCCCATTCTGCTGCAGGTGCAGAACATCTCCCCATCTGGAGGAAGATGTTGAGCTCACGAAAAGTGAGCAGAGCTGGATTCCACCCATTCATCCTTGTGGGAGCACATGCAACTAGAGGAGATGAAGTGTGAAATTACCTGGTCATCTCAGAGTCAGGGAGCAGGCCTAGGTGGTAGTGAGGGTAGGGAGCTGAGAGAAGGAAGCTTTTGTGACACTCAACAGGGGAATAGTGCCTGGGAGAAGCAGGCTTATCACACAGTTTGTTCACAGTGCTGTAAACAGGTTCCGGAGGCCTGGTGATACAAGAGGAAGAGATAGATATGCATGGTTAGCACCCACAGGGAACAATTGTGTAACAAGTAGCATTTAACGACATGTAAAATTAAAAATGCAAAACAATGCCATTGATTCCTTATGCACTACTAACAGAAACCAACTTTTCCACTGCTAATGTATCCGATAATACCTTACTCTTTTGCCTCCCTTGTGGGTAGATGTGGGCCCACTAAATTGTTCAGTCCAATGTGATTTGAGCAATTTTGGGCCACACATGGAATAGCTGCTTACGGGAAAGTTAATTGAGCTGGGACCCTTACAGTTTTGCTCTCGCCCACTTCTTTCCTCTCCTGACCTCCTGGAACCTGGATACGATGGTCAGGTTCCAGGTCAGCAGAGGGAAGTCAGTGGTCACCTTATACTGTGAAGCAACTTTGAGAATGAAGGCAAACAACGCAGAGGGTAGAACATAAAGTGATTACCTGTGTCTCTGATGATTTGCAGTGATACTGTGCTGCCTCTGGACTACCTACCTTTGGAGTTCTTCAATGCAGGATAAAATAAACTATTTTTATTTATGCTACTATCATTTTTGGTTATATAAGCCATATCTAGTAATCACAGATATACTCTTAAAAATATAAGACAACAAATTTAATACAAAGAAAACTATCAATAGGGCCTACAAGAGGTAATACATTTAATTACATTTTCAGTCCATTTAACTTCTCTCTCTACGCAAGAAGCTATAAAGAATGTTATTTTCTTACTATATAATTTAGAGCTTGAAGCTGTTAAGAGAACTCATTGCATCTATATTTAAAATAGTATATATAAAATGGTAGCTGATCTAAACTGTTGCTGCCAGAATGGGACCTTAGAATAAAGGAATTGATGACTTGTTTGGGGTCATAAAACATTTTCATGATGATGTCATTTCAGCAGCATTGTACTCTCTGCCTGGGAGGGCTGATTCAATTTTCTCGGTCTGATGTCGACTCCACAGACCAAAGAAATTACATGAGCAATTTTCTCCCAGTCCTTTTATCACAGTAGTACCATATTTAGGAAAAGATTTTCAGAATCAAAGCAGGCTAATACATATCTTAAAAAATTCCTAATTATATTGTATTTAACCAAAGGGAAATTTTTTACTCTTTGAACACTACAAAAAATTAAGGAAAAGGAAAATGAAGCTCTGTAGTTTGTCCAGTGCTGAATTCTTGAAATTTTTACTTGTATGTTTTGTGGAACCATTTTTGGATGGAATATTGTTGCTTCAGTATCTTGTTTGTTGACTTATCCTCACTTCTAGAATTCTTTCACAGTGGATTGATTATTTGTCAGTATTTAATCATTCATCACTCCAAGTCTTTATCAAGGCAAAATATAGTCGTTATTACAGGTTCATTTTCGCCTGTCACTTAGTCTCCTATTCCTTCCCTATTTATCATTTTACACAGTTACTAGCAAAAAGAAGAGACAAATCATATCTAGTGTGTATTTTTGGACTTCAGTACACTTGATTCCTTAAGAGACAGGTTGATGAAAAACATACAAAATGTAACAACACTTGACAAACCTGAAAAAGTCCTCTTGCAACCAAACAACAGAATTTAAAGTATCAGTGAAAAATATCTTCTTAAGTGGCATAAAAATGGAGTTTATATTTGAAGATTTCAGTGTAAGAGCTTCATTACAGCCCTAGGATTCTGTCCTATATTATGTACTGCACAGGCTACTGTACAACACAGAAAGGGCACTGCACAAGTCAGAGCCTAAACAGAGGCACAGCACACAGCAAGAACTTGATAAATGTTTCATTGAATAAATGGGTCATTGTTTTTTAACCATTCCCTACTGAGAGGCAAAAACTTGGCTCTTTTAAGATTGTCATAAGTTTTTTCTTCATCTCTTTGTTAGGTTTAAAATTTTTAGACCATCATTCATTCTCACAGGTTATCTTGAAGGACAGAAACTCGAAAGCTGTGAGTTTGTAACTGAAAACCTTTGAAGTACTTGGTGTGTATGGCTCGTCCACACACAGCAGGTGGGCCTCGTGTATTTGAGTCTGTCCACAGTAACGCCGGCTCACAATTCTTGTAAATGTCACCCAAGAGCAAGGTGCTCCTCAAAAGGCTTCTCAGCCCTGAGCTGTGGAAGGCCCGGCACGGGCAGTTGGCATCTCAGTACTTCCCTGAGGTTGTACTCTCTGTGACCTCTTTGCAGACAGACCAGAAACACAAACTGCTGTCACTGGGATGTGGGCAGCAGGAACAGATGCCAATATCCCTTCCCATTAGGTCAGTAAGGAAATGGGGTGGGTAATGACTGTTGGCACGTGAGTCAGCCAGTTACAACAGAACGGGCCTGTTTATCCTATTTTAAGCATCCAGAGTTAGAAGACAAGTAATAAAAAAATCCAGTGTGTAGTGTGTGTGGTGCTCTCCATTTTGCGGATGTTGCCCAGAGAGAAAGTAGTTCGAGATCTCTTAGTGTAGTCTCTAAGCAAATTTATACACAAATCATTTATTTCCCTGTCTAATTATCAAAGTCCATATATAAATGACTTTGAATGTCATCTGCTGAGCTATCAGCATTTATTTGCATATCTATGAGTTCATAATTGCAAGCTCTTATAACATACAATTAGCATATCCTGGCTCTTGGTGATCTCTCTTTTCTCTGAATTCCATTAGAACTTGCTATTTGTTCTGCTTTCTTGGCATTTTTAATTGCTAATTCACAATGCTGGCATTTTGCAGAGAGATGATGCTTTATCTATAACTCACTTTTAGAAAAAATACCTTGCATGCAACTGCACTTTCTCATTTGCCCCATTTGAATTTAACCCAATTCAGTCCCCTCATGATCTGTTGAAAGAAAAAGAAAAGAAAGGGTCTAGGCCAACAGATTCTAGGTTAGGAATATGAATCATGTGATAAAGGGGCAGAATAAAAAGTTGTCAGCACAAGATGCAGACAAGGGGTCACTGACTATGAGTCCACTAGTTATAGAGCACCAGACTGAACTCTACCAAATTGTGTTACTAAACCTATACAGAAGCTCATTGAATCAAGAATAAGTCTAGGTTCATTCTTTAGAGGGCCTTTTAGGATTAATGTGACTAATGTGACTCTCCTAGAACATTAGTTGTGCAATGAAAGTCAACTATCAACATCCTACCTGTCTTTATTGGAGCTTAGGTCAGATCTCTTGCTTGCAAGAAAGAGAGAAAATAAAACAAACACTTCATTTGTTTTATATTTTCTTTCAGATCTCTGAAGCTAGATGATACCACTGAAAGAAAATGACAGACGCCTTTATCTGGATGTAATCTCACAGTACTTGAGAATGACACCAGAATGAGCCTGTCTTCCAAGTGTTGACATTTTGTTTATTATCAATTCTTTTGCACTCATTTTATTTTCTAAATTTTCAGTAGAATATTATTTTCCTAATTACTGAGTGTTTCGTGTCCCTGGAACTTTACTCCAGACATAAGTGCCTCGTGTCTAATCCCTGTAATGTACTGGGAACAATAATGTTTGGGATGGAGACCGTGATGACTGTGACTGTTAAGTGGCTCTTTAGTCAAGTAGTACCTGAAGGTTTAAGATCAAAGCAGTAAGACATCTTTCTCTCAGAGGTGACAGTAACATCAAGATGTCTCAGGCCAAAAACTCATCTTACCATATTTTGTTCACAGGTCTCTTTCTTTTCTTAGAGTATTAACTCCTAGAGAATCAAGACCAAATCTTATTTGTCTGTTTCATCACAGACTCCTTGAATGTGAGAATTTATTTGAAAAGCACTGTCACTGAAAATGAGAAGAGCTGTGACCCCCAAAAAAGGATTCAGTACTTTTTAGTCTCTCTTCCTGAGCCAGAACTTTATAAGAACAATCTAAAATTATAGGAGGAAAGATTTGGGTCAAATATTTGTATGCCTTTGACCATAAATCTCTTTGTCAAACAGATAGATATGGTTAAATTCACAGAATATTCAGATTCTCCAACTCTTTGTTGTGAACTTCCTTAGCTGTGGTAATAGCAAGGGAATATCCCACTGTGTGCCCTGCATTAAAAAGACACAGAACCAAAACACAGCACTGATAGCAGCTAGGGTGCCAAGGGCTCTGATGCCTAAGCATCTTAGTTACCTGATATCATTTCAGGGAAAAGATTTTTAACCTCAAATGGGTGCTTCATACTCCTATTTACAAATAATACATTTTTATTAGGTCACAGATTGACAGGAGTAAGCATAGACGATTGACTTCCAGGCCTGGGCTCATAGGTATTCAGCTCAGAGTTTTAGGAACCCCTAAAAGTAATTAGGGGGTACAAGAGAGTAGAGGATCAGGTTGTTTGCTATGTGCACCAACATGTGAAATATCATTTTAATGATAATGATGAATGATGAGGCTGATTTCTCTTAATCTCAACTTTAAACAGGAAGTCGTAGGTACTTGGTGAAGAGGCTAACAGGGCCTTAATGTATGATGGTCTAGGGAAGGAATTTGTGATGGTTAACTGAGTGTGTCAACTGGAGTAAGAAATGCCCAACTCAGCATAGTTCTGGGAGTGGAAGATCCACCCCAAAGAGGATCATCACCAGGATGGAAGAGTGAAATGATGAAGGAAGGTTTGCTTTTGTTTCTTCAGAGGACATCCAGACTCCGCCTTCACTTTGGACTTTATCTCCTGGCTTCCAGTTCAGACCCTTCAGCTTTCTAGCATAGACCCTTTAGCCCTTGGCTGCAGAACCTTTGGCTTTCTGATACGGACTTGCATGAGACACTATAGTGAGCACCAGGTTTCTTGGCTGCAGACCCTTTGGCTTTCTGATACGGACTTGCATGAGACACTATAGTGAGCTCCAGGTCGCTGACTGGGTCCTGTGGATCTCCAGTGCACATGCAGACCTTTTGCACTCTTCCACACCTGCCTCAGTGGGCAGCCACTGTAAGCCAATCTTGCAAATTCTTATATGTATATCTGTATATAGTGCATTA